AAAAAAAAAAACTCCCAATAAAAATAAAAAGAAGATAACACAAAAAGGAGCACTCAACTCTTTTTAACTAAGAGATATATTGTGGCATTCCTTTAGTTCTTGTAAAAGCTTTCTGGGAAGAGGGGAGAGTCAATGAAGCCATTCAAGCAGTGAGGGAAATGGAACAAAGAGGAGTTGTTGGAAGCGCCTCAGTGTATTATGAGCTGGCTTGCTGCCTTTGCTACCATGGGATGTGGAAAGAAGCATTCTTGGAGGTATCCATACCCTTTTCACTTTATCTGTTTTCCTTTTAATGGTTTTTATAGAGACTTCTTATGTTAGTGAAGCTTAAGTTATATAAATCATTATTTAGACTTTCTCAGAGTCAGTTCCCATGTTGTATACTGCATAAAGAAGTTCCCTCGTCAGTACTATCACTTCATGTACAGCTGGACTAATGGATTAGATTGTTTTTCTGAATGTAATTTCAGTTTTAGCACTTCTTTATATTTTTGGAGGACACAAATTTTGCATGCAGTAAAGCACATCTGCCAGGCGTTAATTATAAAGATTGTCATTTAAAATAAGGCAAATTTGTCGAGGACTTAGACAATACTTATTCTGGGAGATGTTGGATTCTGAATTGAAATCCATCAACAAGTTCATTTTAGCAATTTCATGCATCTTCTCTTAAGCTTGATTCTTGGTATTTCTTCAAGCCCATTGATTGAGGAATGTAGGTATTTTCGGCTCTTGCCTTTGGAGCTAAGAGTGGTGTCATGATATGTCTTTTTTAAAAGGAAAAGTTGGTTATAGTACTTGTACAGTAATTCATTATGCACACATGCATATGTTCCTTTCATTTTATTTTTTTAACCTTTGATCTTTAGTCATTACATGACTCAAAATTTTGTTGCCTTCAAGTATGCATCTTCTGCTGTGTCAGTTTATGCTCTCTCTCAATCTCATTGAAAAGGTGGCATAACATGCAAAATTATCTGCTGATATCCGAGAGTTCTCTCCTCTTTGTGTAAATGTGTCTACGTGGTTCATCTTCTGCTGATCTTTTGATGCACAAAGTCAATTTCAGTCATTCAATTATTACCACAGATTGAGAAGCTGAAAATGCTACGTCACACAAGACCTTTGGTGGTTACCTTTACTGGCATGATTTTGTCATCCATGGATGGTGGACACATTGATGGTTGCATATGTATATTTGAGCACAGTAAAAAGCATAGCGAACCTGACATAGGAATCATAAATGCCATGCTGAAGGTTTATGGCAAGAATGATATGTTCTATAAAGCTAAGGAATTATTTGAGTGGGCTAAGACAGAGGATCCTGGTCCTCAACTTTACCAGGGTAACTTTAGTTCTTCCCGTAGCCCAGATGCATATACATACACCTCAATGCTTGAGGCCTCTGCTTGCTCTCTCCAGTGGGAATACTTTGAGTATGTGTACAAGGAGATGGCCTTAAGTGGGTATCAGCTTGATCAAAGTAGACACGCGTACCTCCTGGTGGAAGCATCAAAAGCTGGGAAGGTAAAATTTGAAAGACTTGTTTATTTCTCAGGACTTGCTGTTGATATCTTTTTAAATTGATATCTTTTTAACACCAAATAGTAGATTAGCACCCTCCTTCCAGATATAAAAAAATCTAGCCAATGAGATCTACCTGGTCAAAATGCGTAAGCCTATAGGTTGATTCAACTTATTTCAACGATTTACCTGCAATTGAGCTATAACAGAAGAAAAAAGGTTGAGTGGAAACAATGATGAAATGCTTTTATAGTTGTGGATGCAGTTACTTTTCATGAGTTGGTTGTGTTCCAGATAAGTCTCTGTTATTGGAGTTATATCAAAAATCAGTATCTCGTTGGAACTAGGTTAAAAATCAGCCTGTTATTTTGTATTCTTCATTTCCTTTTATAAGCTTCTTCATTCATGGAGCAGGTGCATCTGCTAGAGCATGCTTTTGATGCAATACTGGAAATTGGTCAAATACCTCATGCATCATTCTTCTTTGAGATTCTGTGTCAAGCCACCTGTCAATATGATTTTGAAAGAGCTGTTGCTCTAATTAAATCAATGGTTCATGCTCCATTTCGTGTCAGTGAACAACAGTGGATTGACCTATTTAACAACAATGGTGAAAGAATTAGCCATTCTAGGTTGAGAGGATTATTTGATGTGCTATGCAGTCAAGCCTTGGGATCAGACTCGACCATTGTAAACTTATGTAGTGCCTTGGAATCTCTTTGTGGATCTTACACTTCAACAGTGCTTTCAATCGGTGAACCTGTTAAATTTGCAACAGATGCCTGTGCTATGACAGCTGATAAGGATAGAACTTTATATACATGCAATGCTCCTGCTAATACAGATGAATTTGACCTTCAGTATGTTCAAGCTGATGAAGGTGACTGTAATGATGAAGCCTATGTCCATTCCTCTGGTGCCAGAGAAAAAGGTGTCAATAGGGAGTTAGTTTCTGATATGTCACACTTAAGTCAAAGAGGAAATGAGAGGGCTGGGACCAGCACAATCTCGGAGCTTTCTGATGAAGAACTAACATTTGATGACCAATTTGATTACTTGGATGATATAGATCAGTTAGGACTCGGGATATCTGATGATGAAGATGACAACTCTTGTGAAACCAAGGTGCCTTCAGCACAAGAAATATTAGAGACATGGGAGGATATCAGGAAAAAAGATGCTACATTTTTCTCCTTTCAACTAGGCCAGATGTGAGTTCTCTTTCACAGAAATTGCTCCTTCCTTATGATAAAGCCTCCTTGCCAAAGCCCAAAGCCAACCAAATGATGCTGGAGACTGGCTGTGATAAAGAGCAGTATGATTTACACGTTGTGGATTCTAAGTTGTAAATGTAGATTAAAAGATATATATATTAAAGGAATTTTTACCTCCTATAACAAAGGTTGATACCTTATTTATTTTAAATAAATACCCTTTTAAAAAATTATATTCCAGAGTTACCTTTCGATTTTTATAGTCATTTCTATTTATGGTCATCTCCTACTCTTAAGCCATAAAATAAGCTTTGTATTATTTTTCTCTCTCATTCTTTCAGATTTTTCTCCACCCTCTCTCTCTCTCAACTCCAGTCTTTCTCCATGAATACAACCACGATTCTCCACTGATTCATCTCCATTGTCTCGCAAAATTTTCAATTTTTTTTGCTCCAAAGTTGTGGCAAGTGTTAAAGTTGATAGATTTTCGCTCCTAAATAAATCCCCTCAAATTGTTTTGTCTTGTAATCCTTACAACCCTAGAAGCATTACAATCCTCCTGTTGCTATTTTTGCCCTAGAAGCCGACTTACATCTTCCCTCCTCTTCCATCCACTTATGCTATGGCGAACTGGGCAGAATTGCCGCACGAACTCATTACTACGATTGCAAAGCGTGTTAAAGTGATGGAAGATTTCATTGCTTTTAGTGGTGTTTGTATTTCAAGGCAAACTGCTGCTCCCAAATACATATCGAAACGGGACTGGGTTCTTGATCGAAACGGGAACAGTAGCCTTTCGAGTCAAAATCGCGGCCCTCTCGACGAGACGACATTAGGGTTGTTCTTGAACAAAGACGACGGAGTTTGGAGCTGAGCAACTTGAAGATTCTGTTAATATATTTCAATGTATCTCGCCGTATTTTCATGTATTTTATTATATTCATTGTCTTTTTATTCATTTTATTTTAATGTATCTCGTTGTACTCCATGTATTTCATTGTATTCACTGTCTCGCTCTATTCCCTGAATGTATTCATATGTTTTTTAATTAATTTAATTTATGTATTCAGAAGTATATATGTATTCAAATGTATCTACAGTATGTATTCATATGTTTTTGCACTATAGATGAATCTCGAATTTTATTGGTTAACAACATAGACACCCACGAACGATATTAGTTCGTGAAGTAGAGGCTCTGATACCAACTTGTCACGACCCAAGTTCGTCATCCGTGAACTGTCGTGACAGCACCTAGTCTCTACGACTAGGTAAGCCTAACAATTGCGGAAAAAGAACAAAACGCGGAAAAACTAATAAAATTGAAGATAAGCAAATATAGAAGCGTTTAAGATGCCGCTCGGCATATACTAATACAAGATCCCAAACTGAAACTACATTTCCCAAAACCCGGAATCTCATGAAATCACAAGCTTTTGAATGACTACAAGTGTCGAACTCCAGAATGTCTAAACAAAAGTAAATATAGAAGGGCTAATACTTTAAGAGAGGATGGAAAGGGACTCCTCGGTCTGCGGATGCGGCAGATATACCTCAAAGTCTCTGGAGAATCGCCTCGCCTCAAGGGTAGTAGGGCTGAGTCGAAGTACCTGGATCTGCATATGAAAAACATGCGCAGAAAGGGCATGAGTACACAACAATGGTACTCAGTAAGTGCCAAGCCTAACCTCGGTCGAGTAGTGACGAGGAAGGTCAGGGACCTACTGAGTTTAGATGAAAAACAAGGTATAACAGTATAGAATAAGACAATATAATTAAGTACAAACAGTAAGAAGTAACACAAGATAGTAAGAACAACAACAACTACAACAGAGCCAAAATAATCACAGAAAGAATACAGCTCAACACAGAGGTAACAACCGGGGGATCTCCCAGGATACCGTCCTATAGTCCCAAATATAAATATCCAGTGGATCTCCCAGGTGTCATCCCGTAGTCCAACTCATAGTGCACGGGGATCTCCTAGAATACTGATCCGTAGTCCCAAATATAAATACCAATACTGGAGAAATCTACCAGGTGCAGTCCCGTGTTCCAATATAAAAGTGCAGGGGGATCTCCCGGAATACAAATCCATAGTCCCAAAGTAAACAAACAGATCTCTCGGGATACCGTCCCGTAGTCCTAAAGTAAACACACAGCAGCAACACGAAGAATATTCAATTCAGTCCAAATTTCCATACCAAGGTAAACAGATAATTCTAACCTAGCATGATGCACGGAATTCAAATAAATCAATTTGAGCAAGGAAGGCAAATAAGTCAAGTAGACATGCTTCCCTAAGCTAACAGTAGGATTAAATTGCAGGTATCATAAGCAGGAAAGAAAACTCAGTTATAGTTACTTATTGAAAACAAGATTTTCAATAATTAGCACATGTACGCACTCGTCACTTCACGTACAAGACATTTCATATATCAACAACACCAATTCCTAAGGGGAGTTCCCCCACACAAGGTTAGGCAAGCCACTTACCTCGAACCGGCTCAAAATCTACCCGAAACCACGTTTTTGCCACGAGTACTCGACTCCAAATTACCCAAATCTATTCAAATCAATTGCGTAATGTAAATATAACTTCAAGTAACTGATTCCACTAATTGATTCTAAGCTAATACGCGAAATTAGGAAAAATGACCAAAACGCCCCCGGTCCCACCTCTCGAAATCGGGTAAAATTTATCAAATTCGGAATCCTCACACTCTCACGAGTTCATTAATACCAAAAGTACCAAAATCAAACCTCAAATGGTCCCTCGAATCACCACTCAAAGCTATCTAATTAACCAAGCCCTAACCCCCAATTTACCACTGATTTTTCTTCAAATTTCATACTTACAATGATAAAAATCACCATAATAACGAGCTTAAGGGCCCAAGACCTTACCTCATTGAATCCCTCTGAAAACCTCCCTTGAAAATGCTCCCCAAAGCTTCTTCCCATTTGAAAAGAGATGAAAAATAACTCAAATTCGCGAAGGCATCTATTTATATGTTCTGCCCAGCAAATCCGCTTTTGCGGCCATGGGACCGCATCAGCGGTCCCGCTTCTGCGGAACTAAAGTCGCATCTGCGACAATTCATTAAACAGCAACTTCCGCACCTGCGACCTCCTTTGCGCAGATGCGGTGCCGCAGAAGAGGTGCCTGGGCCGCATCTGCGGCCAATCCTAAAATGCCTCAAACCGCACCTGCGGTCCTCCAAGCGCATCTGCAGGCTCGCACCTGCGGTCCCCAAGCCGCAGGTGCGGTTATGACAGCAAACTCAGCAGCTTCAACTATAAATTCCCAACTCCAAACTTCCCGTTAATCATCCGAAATTATCCCGAGGCCCCCGGGACCTCAATCAAACACACGAACAAGTCATATACCACTATCCAAACTTATACCAATCCTCAAAACACCTAAAACAACATTGAAACATCGAATTAACCATGGATTCAAGCCTAAGAACTCTAAAAACTCTCAAATTATGCTTTCGATCAAAAGGTCTATCAAACCTCGTCCGAATGACCTGAAATTTTGCACACACGTCACATTCAATACTACGGAGCTACTCCAACTTTCAGAATTCCATTTCAACCCTTAGATCAAAATCTCACTATCGAACCGAAAACTTCAAAAATTCAACTTTCGGCATTACAAGCCTAAATAGGCTACGGACCTTTAAAACACAATTCAAACATGCCTCTAAGCCTGAAATCACCCAACGGAGCTAACGGAACCAACGGAATTCCATTCCGAGACTGTCTTCACACTGCTCCGCCTATGGTCCAAATTCTAAAACTTAAACTCTCATTAAGGGACTAAGTGTCCCAAAACTCTCCGAAACTCCAAATAAATCCTCCTGTCAATCACAATAGCAGAAACAAATACGGGAAAAGCAGTTAACAGGGGATCGGGCGTTAATTCTTAAAAAGACTGGACGGGTCGTTACATCCTCCTATACTTAAAAATTCGTTCGTCCTCGAACGAGCATAGAGACATACCTGAAGTAGTGAAAAGATGAGGATAACGACTGCACATATCCTGTTCGGTCTCCCAGGTCGCCTCCTCGATCGGCTGACCCCGCCACCGAACCTTTACTGATGCAATGTTCTTTGACCTCAACTTCCAAACCTGCCTATCCAATATCGCCACTAGCTCACCAACATAAGATAGATCCTTGTCCAATTGGACTGAACTGAAATATAACACGTGCGACGGATCACCATGATACCTCCGGAGCATCGAAACATGAAATTCCGGATGAACTCTTGCCAAGCTAGGAGGTAAGGCAAGCTCATAAGCAACCTCCCCGACGCGCCGCAATATCTCAAAAGGACAAATAAACCTCGGGCTCAATTTTCCTCTCTTCCCAAATCTCCTAATGCCCTTCATAGGCGAAACCCGAAGCAGAACCCGCTCTCCAACAATATAGGAAACATCACGAACCTTCCGGTCCGTGTAACTCTTCTGTCTAGACTGGGCTGTACGGAGTCTATCCTGAATCACCTTAACCTTCTCCAAAGCACCCTGAACCAAGTCTATGCCCAATAATCTAGCCTCACCCAGGCTCAAACCAATCCACCCGGGATTTACACCGCCTACTATATAAAGCCTCGTACAGTGCCATATGAAATACTGGACTGATAGTTATTGTTGTAGGCAAACTCCGCCAATGGAAAGAACTGATCCCAAGACCCTCCAAACTCAATCACACACGCACGGAGCATATCCTCAAGAATCTGAACAGTGCGCTCGGACTGTCCGTCCGTCTGAGGGTAAAATGATGTACTCAACTCCACCCGAGTACCCAACTCATGTTGTACGACCCTCCGAAACCGTGATGTGAACTGAGTACCTCTATCTGAAATGATGGAAACTAGAATACCATGTAGACGAACAATCTCCCGGATATAAATCTCCGTCAACCGCTCTGAAGAATAGGTAGTACACACAGGAATGAAGTGTGCGGACTTGGTCAGCCGATCCACAATCACCCAAATGGCATCGAACTTTCTCAAAGTCCGTGGGAGTCCAACTACAAAGTCCATGGTGATCCGCTCCCACTTCCACTCCGGAATCTCTATCTGCTGAAGCAACCCACCCGGTCTCTGGTGCTCATACTTCACCTGCTGACAATTGAGACACTGAGCTACAAACCTAACTATATCTTTCTTCATCCGCCTCCACCAATAGTGCTGCCTCAAATCCTGGTACATCTTTGCGGCACCTGGATAAATGGAATACCGTGAACTATGGGCATCCTCTAGAATCAACTCCCGAAGCCCATCAACATTGGGTACACAAATCAGACCCCGCATCCTCAATACCCCGTCATCACCAATAGTCACATCTCGAGCATCGCCATGCAAAACCTTGTCCTTGAGGATAAGCAAATGAGGGTTATCAAACTGACGCTCCCGGATACGATCAAACAAGGAAGACCGGGAAACCACGCAAGCTAGAACTCGACTAGGCTCCGAAAGATCCAATATCACAAACTAGCTGGTTAAGGCCTAAACATCCATCGCTATGGGCCTCTCGGCTGCTGGTAAATAAGCCAAACTCCCCAAACTCTCTGCCCGGTGACTCAAAGCTTCGGCCACCACATTGGCCTTGCCCGGGTGATACAAAATAATGATATCATAGTCCTTCAGCAGCTCTAACCATCTCCTCTGGAGCAAATTAAGGTCCTTCTGCTTGAACAGATGCTGCAAACTCCGGTGATCAATATAAATCTCACAAGGCACACCGTACAAATAATGACGCCAGATCTTCAAGGCGTTAACAATAGCAGCTAACTCGAGATTATGGACAAGATAATTCTTCTCAGGCACCTTCAACTGTCTGGACGCATAGGCAATCACCCTACCGTCCTGC